CTTTGTCCGAGATTTATTACACAACAAATAAACTTTAGTTGATCCTTTAACAGACTAACAAGACTAGCTTTGTCGGTTTTGATTGATAATGAGTAGACGTTTAAATAAAAACTTTTTAATACAGACCTATTTATCACATGGAAGTTCGCTTTAACCGGACAAACCACCTCGACAAAAAATGAAAAAAAAAAGGATTAAAAGAATAGAAACTGTTTTGAAAAATAAAAATTAAAAAAAGATATTATTTTGAATTTTTTAAACATACGAATAATCTAAACAGATTCTAAATCTACTGTCAGATCTTAAATAGTTTTATACATAAAGGTAACCTATACATTTTTTTTTTCATTTCTCAGTTTTGGTTGTCAATAACAAAATACGATTAACGTTTAAAAAAGATGTTCTACAATTATTTTAAATTTGTAATAGCACAATTTTACACTTTTCCATACCTAAAGGTCTTTTGAAGTTTTATGTCAAATATATTATTTTCTTATTAGGTTTATAACATTTGATAAATATATTTAAGTGAAAAATTAAAATCGAATTTTCATTATATCTCCTCAAAGACTTTAACTAATAGACAACCGTTCCACAGTTTAACTTGAACGGTTTAATTTATCTGGAACGTTGAATGTGAGTTCACAACTTTATCGCGAGAGTGTGTAACATTTACTTAACTTCCTCAGATAAAATAGATATGTTTTGAAATACTATTTACTGTTTATATCAATTAATCTTTTCTAAATTATCAGTTAATTCGATCATCCTGTTTCTCTTTAAAATGTAACGCTTTAAGATTTTATTATATAATTTTTTTTTTAAAGAGTTGAGTCAAAAAGAAGTTAATTATGAGAAAAAATATTCACATCATTTTGTATATGATTTTTTTTTGACAACGTACTTTAATATTAAAGATGGCTTAGTTATTCAGTTATAGAAACATATATAATTTATGTATTATATTAGTAACCATACAAATATTTTCGATAATAATTCCATAAAAACATTTCAAACTATAGGAATTGATATATTTCTTTGAATGATAATAATAATTGCGATCGTGTTATCTGTAAGGCCAGCAACTATTCACTGAAGGTATATGAGGATTTTTACTAAATTTATACGTGAGAATAAGATAAAATAATATTTTGTTAACAAACTTTATTGCAACCAGATGACTCGTTATCAGCAGTTACAGAATAATATATACATATATATAATGAGTAATTATAAAATTATACAGTGGACGCTTTTTTGAGGAATAACATTATTCATAAAATATTTTTAGTATAACGACCAATGCTTACAGACACTTATGTTATAATTGTGTGATTGTAATATATATGTATATGTTTATGATAACTTTACCCACATAAATTCCTAGCCTCTGATTATATTCTTCTATTATATTGCTCTTTCAACTGCAATCTTTTGTTTAGGACACATCATATGTATTAGTTTAAATATATATGTAGCTATGTCAATAATTTCTCAATCACTTCTGTTTTCTGTTTACTAAAATTCGATCAACTGTCACACGTGTTATACCAAACATTCAAAATTAATTACATGTGGTCAACCAGCGGTTGAATTTAGGCCACATATCATTAAAATTTTATATCTGTAAATTAGGTACAAAATTAGTATCGAACCAGATGTAGCAAATACGTTTTTATTTCCGTGATCTAGATAATATCTATAGTAATAAGCACAATATTTTGTAAAACCTCGTATCAAAAATCGATAGGAATGGCATTTTGCGATAATCAGTACTAATTTTGTTCTTCAAAACAGTCTATAGCCTGGAAATGTCCTGCATCTGCATTGTGTCGCAAGAATCCAGTAATTAATTACATACTAGAATCCTTCTTTAACATTTTTTATATGTCTCTTTAATTAAATTGTGAATAAAAATCTTTTTTTTCTTAATTCATATAAAAAGCTAACTAAACTCCTATCACAAGTTGAGCAATATTCTTAAGTTATTGCAATTTTTTTATTTACCGGCTTAAATTCTGTTTACGTGTGCATTGTAGGTATAAAGTAACTGAAACTGGTATGAAAATAAAATTAGAATTATAAATAATGATCTTCAGTCTTTGTATATGAGATGATGAATGAACTAAATTCAGACGAATAGTATTTGAGTGATTCATAAAACATTACTTAATACATTAGAATAGAATACATTATGAATATACTAAAATAGAAATGAACATTAAGGCCCCAACATTAAAAGGTCAAACCACAAGTTAGTCCCTTAAAAGTGGTATCACGCGTTCTATAATCTCCTAACCTTCTTTAGTTTCAGTGGTAAAGTTTCTTGTGGATTAGGATATGGTGATACGTTAGAGAAAATTACTTATACGTGGGTTGAAATAAAACCATATTTTTAAGCCTATTTTATTTATTTAATTTAAATGTTTTGACCTCAAGTTTATCTTCTTTACACTCCTAACCCTATAGTACTTTATGAAATGAAATCAGTGCAAGTAAATCACATAATAGATTGCTAACTCATAGATACTCGTCTTCTATACTAGTTAAATTGTCATATTGCTGGAATGTAATTCATCTTATATTTCATTAAAAACCAATTTATTAAACCACTCTTGTATAAATGAAATTATCTTTTTCTTTATGTATGTGGATATTTCATAAACATTTTCTTCAAACAATCTCATTTGTCATGTGGTCGTTTTGTGAATAAAGTATTTGTATAAAAGAGAGCGTTTGTTCTAAGTAATTGCACCACATCTTTAACATAGCGTGCTTGAAAGTCCATTTGATCTTGCCTGTAATGGGTAACGTGTAGAGAAGTTAGTTATGCGTGTAATCGAAATAAGTTTTTATCATTTACTTAGATTTATACTTTTATGACAATAGAAAACAAACCTTTTTTTTCTCATTGCTCAAATGGATACCATTTATTGTTTATTTAAAACCCCTTTGATGAAGGCAAATACGCTTTAATATAAGATATAATTTGTTTGTAAACCTTTCCTTTATTATTCTTTTCCCAAAAAGTAAATTTATAAAACTTTGTATATAAACAAAATAAACAAGCTATTTATCATCGTATTCCGCCTGATCCAAAGTATACTTTAGAGTTTTTTGTTAATTAATTGCTATTGCCATAGAAAATGAAACAAATTTATTGAAAAAATATTTTATATAAATTATACGACAACCGATTTTATGTAAATTATATGACATTACAGAGTATTATAGTTTAATGCTACACATAATAATTGTATTTTAACAAGTGGCATAAAAATATTATTTACAACAGTTAAGACATAACAGGCACACTGGTGTTTTTTTTGCAGGACCTCCGTTAAGAACAGTCAACCTTTCAAAAGCTTTCCCAATATAATTTTAACGATGTATCTGAAATTGTGATTAAATTATTAATTTTTATTTATTATCTATTTACATAATCACTATTGTCTAATTACAAAACTAAATCCTCTAATATATGGAATATAATAGTAATCGAAACAATATTTTTTTTTGGTTATGCATTATTAATGTTACATTTTATTTATTCAATATTTACATATGATCTCTTATCATCTCCTATACAAAATATGAAATGAATTTTGAACACATAAACATTTTATTCAAAAAGACACAATACATAGCAATAGTAATTATTTTAGGTATATAAGTACATTGATAAGTTTGATAAAATTTAGGAGTATTTTAATTAAACTTAGGTTATATTACAAGAAGCGCTTCATTTTCCTTAACTTTCATTTACACTTTACAACAAAAAGCATATGCTAAAACATAAATAGAATGAGCCTTGTAATACTAAATCGTAATACTGCACTATTATTAATAATTTAGAGTCATATTTAATTCTACTAACATAAAAATCCCACTATATAATACATTACTACAGAATCACAGCTCCTGATTGATTTTATTTTTATTTTTGTCGTGACAATCTAATTCGAGATCACTTCAGCTTTGACTTGGTATGTAACTCTTTTCTTTCTTTTAATAGAAGGGTTACGTGAATCACTGTCTAAGCTAATTTCACTAACTGACTCCGAATCTACATAAGACGTATCGGGGCAGAGATGGCGTTCGAGACATCTGATGGGCTCGTTCAGAGTGTTGTTGAGAGTTCTCATCGGGTAATCGTTTGTTGGTTCGCCGCCCCTCATAGCTTGGGACCGGCGCGCGTGGCATCAGGAACAACGTGTCCTAGGGCGGCATGTGCCAGCCCTGGCCTGCTGTCACAACCGACACATCTCATGTTGGGACACTGACGAGTACATCATAGTTGTCACGGGATACTGGAATGTTATCCAAATATAAATAATGTTTATATACTAATATATTGAAGAATAGAGGAACAACAATATAATAATAATGATTTTGATAGAAAAAAACATTAACTCAAGCGGTTTTGTATAATTAAAAACATTGGACAGCACGCTGAAATGTTAGGTGCAGTGTTTTATTTACTGAGGGAAACAAATCAAATTTTTGGTATTAAAAGTGTTTTGTAAGCAAAGTCACATACATTTGTTATTCAGATTATTTCATGCAAAAGGGGAAATGTGTGAACATTTAGGTCTCGTTGACGGTGGAAACAAGATTAAAACGTAGCGGGAAACAAAATTAGAATAAATTGTAGTAGATTTAATTTCGTGTATTTAAATTAAACATGCATTTCGGACGGATTCTGAAAAGTTATTAAAAACATGTAGACGAACACAGCCGGGGAGTTTTAGCTAAACATAATAAAGCGTCAGAAAGATTATAACATTTATATCCCGTGCGAACAAATAGAGATAAATTGCAGGAATTATTCTGAAACGGGCAAGACTGTCACAGTGCAGTGTTTATACATCAGACATACCTCGTTAGTGACGATTAAACAAATGACAGCAATTTTTTTACTTTAATTTAGAATATAGGAGATATTTTAAGAGAGCACTTGGAACGTAAAAGATAATGAGGTATATATAAAATCTGTTTCGCTATATGTAAGTCTGTTCGCAGGAGTTTTGTCTTATAGCTTGAAGTTCTCCGGAGGAATAATAACGGCGGGTCGTTCGCCACTGAAAGTAAACGTATTCATGAAAGAAAAAATTAATAACAAAATGAATTACTTTATGTATATTTTTTATGTATACTTATTTTTAGATGTGTAATATAATCGTATTTACATTCTAGTACCTACTTGTCTTCTTACATTCATTTCAGATAATTCTATTATATTTTATCATAGTCCTATAAGTTTTGTTGATATTAATTGATAGAATAAATATTACCTGTGATTGCTTAAATCTCAGCTGGGGTTGATATTTTCTACGTAGCTTCCTTGGGCAGCATACACATAGAATTCTCAGGAACGCTCTGGAACAATAAACAAAATATGATTAAAAAGTTTCATTTACCAATAGTTTTTTTTTTCGTTTTCATTGAAGGCACTTTAATTGCAATTAGTTTACTTTATTTGATTTTCCATTAAATCTCTGTCTCAATTACGATAGTTCTAAATGTTTTAAAGGTTTAGAATTTAGAGGGATTAATTAAGCTTTAGTAAGGATCTCAAATCGCTTCGTTATATGAGAATAGTTGAGGCGGTCGTGTTGTTACATTACGCATGGGAAATAAGTCAATTTTAGTGCCAAAAGTACTCGTAAATCCTTAAATAACATGGTACTAATCAAAACTATAAACTCTGATTTAACAGTTTGACAACATTTTGTTTATAAGGAAATTATATTTAAACACACGTGACCAGTAACAAATATGTTTCCAACTACATCAATTCATTTAGAATTAATATGAAGTACAAAATGGAAGTTAGGTCGAAAGGTAGACTCCATTAGCATTGTAATTTTGCGCTCCTTCCAATGGGCTGGGGAAATTCGATTATGCCTTAATTTCGTGACCGCGAGGCTTTGTACCAAAACATTTGTCGTGTTTACATTGTGACACCATTTTATAACGTTACATGCATGTTTTGTATCTTGTTTAAAATATAATGAGTTCCTGAGCGATAAAGTTTTTCTTCTATATATAAATAGTAAAAATTAAACAAATGATTAATATTTTGTTGAACAAGACGAAAACTTCTCAGCATTTCATAGATTCACCGTGTGGGTGCTGGGTTCATTGCGTTGCAGAGAAAAGAGCTATAACATTGTTTGGAACTTGCGACCCAGGTTTTAAGAGGGCCCTATATAAAGCGGTCTAGATGCTCACCCTTACTGTCCAAGCTCCTCTCTTTGCGTAACCAAATTTGAAACAAATCCACTAAGGCTACCTTCGAAGTACGTTCCAGGAACGAATGATGTTGGTTTTGGACAGGCCCAATTCTTTTAGGGGTCGTAGAGAGATTTAGCTGTTATACCCTTCGCTCCGGCTTTTAGAGAGTACAAATTTTCGACGAACCTATTCTTAGTATAATTTCCGATTATAAGTTTGAAATCGCCAATCCGTCTTTAGTAAGCGTGGTGATTAATGCTCAAATCTTCTCTATGTGAAAAGAGGCCTTGGCTCAGCTTGGGCTCTGATAGGCTGATGATGATGATTCTTATTGAGCTCGCAATACTTATTAAAGGCGTGGTCTTTGGAGATGTTGATTTCCCAAGGAACTGTAAGCTCTATTTACAAAACGAGCTTTAAAATTCGCGAATACAGAAATATAGTCTAGACGCCGACACATAAATATCCTCTGGGATTTTATATTGTTTTTCATTCAGATCCATTGTCTCATCTGGATCAGCTTTAAGAATAGAATTTATTTTTTATATAATATACGTAACTCCGGGATAACTTGTATTAAAATGTTAAAAAGACGTCTCGCACCTATATTACAATAAGCTCCGAAATTTGGAAAAGGATATGAGTAAACAAAACGAGAAATTAGCATAAACTGAGCTCAGTTCTAGCCGTTTTAGTTAACCCCAAACAACAGGACGCAAGCAGTGTAAATTTCGCTTTTAATCAACTTTTGTTGGATATATAGTCGTGAATAACTACATATACGATTGTATGCAGAATTATGAATTAGATTTGAGAGACGTATACCTATATTAAATTCTGGTCGCAAAATTAATTGTCTTACATCTGTATTAATATTTATTCATATAAATACAAATTTATAAATATATTAAAAGTAAATGGATTTAAAATGGACCTAAAAAGTGGAATATAGATATTGCCCGTACATTTCATACAAGTGGGACCATAAGATTCGATATATTTAATGAGACCTTCATCACAACTGTCAATAAATACTAAAGTTTTTATATTCTTTGGGGTTTTTATATTCTACTACTATATATACAAAATAGAGAACTACTGAGCAGTTTAAAATATTAAAGGACTGAAAATAAATATATTATCCTAAGTGCTACCTTTGATTTATTATTATTATTTTTTTATAACATCTCGAGCCAACTACATTTTATTTTAGAATACATGGCCCTCAACATGCAATTACTTGTTCAAGCCATATTTAATAATTGTGGAAAACGTATCATTTAATAAGAGCCTCATAAATAACCTAGTCCCATTAATTATAGCATTTCCCATAAATTGGTATAATTTAATGGGAAAAGATCAAATGGCTGTCAAAAGCTTATTAATATTTCAAAGAATAAATTCCAAATACCAAAATAACTGCCATCAAAGCGTGGTATTGAATCATTATCGCAGACGGTTCAAAGCCTCGATAAAGGCCAAAAAATAAAATCTTAGTGGTCGATGTTGTACTTTTTATAATAAAAACCCTTTGATTGTTTGTTAATTATATTTGTAGGTTCTCGGTTTTGTTTTAACAGGTTCGTTTGACAAATGATTAATAATGATATTATTCTTACTGAATAACCCATTTAACAGGTTTAAAATATTAATTGTTGCATTTTTTTATTTATTATATAACTTTTCACTAGTTGAGCCTTGAATAATGAATTTTCAGCTATCAAATTCGACAGAAATTAGGTATATAGGTATCTATATCCTTATTATGGATGACATTACAGCAAAAAAACTTTTTTATTATTCAAATAGATTGATTTATTTTCCACTTTAATATAGCGAATTAAAAGATATTTTTTATGTATTGATGGATAATGTTTTTTACATGTATATATTGTTGATCGATATTCATAACAAAAAAAAATGTAAAACAACTCATTAAAACCCCACAACATACGTATATGACGAGACGGGAAACAGAAACGATTTGTCACGACCCTTTAAGGAAATTGCTAGGTAAAAGAAAACTGAGGGCAAATTGTAGCAACATTTCACAGTCAAATGTATCAGGTGAGTATAAAGATCAAATCCTATCAATAAAGGTATTCAAATACGTGAGATTATTATCGAGACTTTTTGCGAGATTTTGTTTATCTATTATACTAAACGCGTACAACTACATACTTCTAATAAAATAAAAGTTTAAATTTAATGGTCATATCCTTGGGAATTTTTTATTTTATTTGAAAGTCTCAAAACTTAAACTGAAAATTGAAAGTTTACTTGTATGGTACAATTCTAAATTTTAGTGCTACACCTTTAAATACTAATTAGTGAACTGTTTTGTTCTTTAAACTACAGTTAACAAAATATATATTTATATATATATTGAACTAGTAATTGTAAAAACTCGTTCTTATTCTTAATCTATTCAGTAAATTTATTAAAATGCACCCTCGAAACGACAGACAGTTTTATACCGAAAAATAAAGATAAAATGCTTTTAATTTTTATTATAATAAAATTTTAAATATATGTACAAACAGAACACTTAAAATTTTACTGTGTTATAAAAATAAGACTGTAAGTGTACAATCTATGTGATATAAAAGTGTTTAATCTTAGAAGAAATTTGAATTATTTAAGATAAATCTCGCCGTAAAGCTGACTTATAAATTTTACGACGAAGAACTTAATACAAAATATAATTTATTACTTTGCATAGCAACTCAGCTTTCATTCCCCTGTATTTGTCCTCAAAAATATAAATTACAAATATATATATGCGTGTATAACTAAAATACAATTGAAATATTACTAGAACATAATATTAAAAAATCATATTAACATTTTAAGTTAACTTTGTAAGACTTCATATAAACATATTTTTTATTCATTTGATATTTATTTTACTACATTAATTTATAATATTTTTCGCAAAACATAAATGTTGTTATGTTTTATCTTACTATTATAAAGTAGGTTAAGTGGTAAGCTTCGAATTTTTAATAGAAACAGAATAGAATTTCAAAATTTAAAAAGGTATTTCCCTGATAACATACGTGCATTAATCATATAATTCACAAATTCAACCAAAACTATGTCAATTGACCTAAATTATGTTGATACAGGGAACTAGGATCTCTCTTTGTTCTAAATTGTATTGTCATAGAGAATAATAAACTAAATTATTTGATGAACTATTTCAACAACATTCAACTTCACAATATAAACTTGCCTGGAACAACGCAGTTGCTTCCGGATGAAAGCGGGTTTCCCTTAAGTTAACACCGGTCAGGTCAATTCCGATATATTAATAATATTAACTGAACAAAATCAATTAAACATTTACTAGGGCTTGAATTTTAAGTGTACTCATTTAAGTGTAAGTAAGATTTTAGTGGTTAAAGGGCACGCCTCTCGTTCTTCAGGGCGGAAGTTCAAACCTGTCAAGTACCAAAGTGATTTTTCGGAGTCATATGTACTTTCTGAGAGTATTTAGACACCACTGACATACGGTGAAGGAAAACGTCGTGAGGAAACCTGGACTTATAATTACACAATTATAAGTTTGAAATCACCAACCCGTCTTGAGCAAGCGTGGTGATTAATGCTCAAAACAAAAAAGAGGCCTTTGCTCAATACTAGGCTCTCTCATAGACTGATGACGAAGGTTTTCGGATATTACGCGTTTTTTATTTATTCGAAAACCTTAGTTTTAGTTAAAATTACTTGTGCTTCATAAGCCTTAACTCTATTATCACTAATGTAACTTGTTGGAAGCGGAATAATATAAACAATTTTTTCAACTTCAAAAAGTATTAAGCTGATTTCGATGATTTTTTGTCGGTAGCCAGCGTGAAACTCTATTATTTATTATAAAACAAAACATAACGTAAAATATATTTCAAATTATATATGATTTAACAGTTTTGAGTTAAATAATTTATATTTCATAAGCATTCCGTATATTGTTTTTAGACGTAAATAAATTCCTTTTAATTTTAGTTTTAAGGTTATATTGCAGTCAAGGGAGATCACTCCGAAATATAATATATAAACTTATATTTTGATAATTATATATAGAATTAAACTAAAACTCTGTAATAATAATAAATACGGTACAATAAAAATTATTACCTTTC